AGGTGAAAGCACTCTCCCCGCGGGTGGCCGACTTGCCTGGTCTGAGGAAAACCGAAGCAACGCTGCCTGGGCTCCGACTCCCAGGGCAACAGGCCACGAGCCTATCGCCCCCTCGCCAGGCTGCTGCCCCCCGCCTGGCCGCGGGCCCGCACCGCCTGACTCTTCCTCGCCTCCGGCTCTCACCAGTCCCCTCCACAGCTCTCCCCGACGAATTCCCGCCTCCCGCCCCCTCGACTCCCGGCAACCAATCGCCGGGACGAGCTCAGACGAACCAATCACACGCCAAGACTAGAAACCAAGCAACCAATCCCGGCGCGAGACACGGGAATTCTGCGCCCAATGGGAGCCTCGCAATGTCCATCGACCCGAGGTAATTGGCGGCACCGGAAGACGGACTAGGGAAAAGCGAAAGACTCCGCGCAAATCCCAGGGATTCAAAGGCGGGGCAGCTCCGTTTGGCTTTTTGCAACCGGTGGTTGAACCCGTGTGTCAGTTTCTTGGGAAACTCGAAGCGTTATTCTTCACGTCTGCAGCTAAACGGAGAGGACACCCCTTTGAGCCTTGCCCACCTCTCCTCTAAGCGTTCTTCCATGCCGCTGGATTCGAAATTCCGAGCTTTAAGATAAATAGAGTGCCCAGGGGATGGAAAAGAATGAAGCTGGAATTGCAAGACAGCCAGGCTACAAATTTTTTAAATATCTTTTAAGTAACTGCTCCAGGATAACTACTCTGATTCTTCTCGCCTAAATTTCTAAAACGCTCAACAGACTCTAACCTTGTGTTGCCATTTGATGTATGTGGCACAACTGAAATAGATTCACCTATGCTCTGAAGCCACAGTCCTAGATTCCAATTCCTTGAACTGTTCCTTTCAGATTAACAGTAGTGAAATGAAACAAAAAAATACAACTTCATTTGATAAAGAAGATGAATGTTTATAGACCAATATTCAAAATAGCTGCACACATCTGTTTTCACTTGAATAAAAAAAATCACATTTTGACAAATTTTATAACCTTAACTTAAAATACATGAATATTAGCATTTACTAATATATTTACACACTTTATTTACATCATCAACAAATCTGATGAAAAACAGCATGTTATTATTTTAACACAGCAGGTTTTGACCAGTCTTTGAAAAATTATCCAAGAATGTGCACTGCATTCAGTTAGAAAACATATTTCAACCTTTTCTGAATTCCTAGAGGTTGGTTACCTACTCACAAAATATTCCAAAGCCTCAGGAGCAGGAGTATTTAATTTTAGAAGACTACAAAACAGCCTTGTTTAAAAATATGAAAATTCTAATGGTATTTTTAAATGCTTTTATTTTTCACAAAAATTACTTAATTGAACATTAAGCATCTACCATCTATAATACTGTACACTTCATGATTTGAAACAGCTACAGATTAATTCTCATTTAATACCCTTATGAGGTAGGGCCAGTAGTAATCCCATTTTACAAGGAGGAAAATGAAATGTGTCTATTTGCTAGTAAAAAGGCTGAAGTTTAATTTCTTAAAAACCATGCTTTCTTATTAGCCTGCCTAATTTCCTTTATAAGTGAAGGGGTCTGTTTCAAGTAGGGGCAAGAGAAGGGGATGATATCTGTCATTCAGTATATCTCAGAAAGCAAAGAGAAGTACCTTCTACATTGGATACTTAAGAAAATAAAATGAGGATTATGGATTACCTGAATGCATCTACCTAATGATCAATGGAAGTTACTAACAGAGGACTGCAAAATCCTTCAGCAATATGGCATTTTCCGTTTGTTTGTTTGTTTGTTTGTTTTTCTTATTTTTCCTGAGGTCCAAACATTGTATACATTTTCTTAGTCAAAGATATAAGATTATGATGTGAATTATAATCCTAATGACAAACCAAGAGCTCTTTAATGCAATGGGCTGTATTACTCTAAAACTTAAATAGGTACCAATGTATTTCTGACCATTAGATAAGTTAGTTAAGCATTATAAAAATAAATTTTAAAAAAACTAAATGAGACCTTCCTTTCAGGTTCTTCTCTGCACAAAGACATTTCTGTATACACTTTTAAACCAGTATCTTAAAATCCCAAATTATTCAAGTATCTCTTTAAACATATGGCTTTCCATATTAGTAAAAAATTGAAGCAAACATGTAAAAATCTTAAAATCCTCACCTGTAATTCCATGAAAATCATTTACAAAAAGCTATTTGCCCTTTTTTAAGCCTTCTCAATACCATTTCTTGAGAACTGGAATTTGATCTTGCATTACTATTACTTGCATTGCAAGTTTGAGAGATTTCTATTTTGGGTATTTAAATTCCTAATTTTTCCTGAATTCTCCTTTTTCTCCCTTTCATCGTTGCATAACTGTCACACTGTGTTACTAAGTCACAGCTAAAATAAACACTTGGGCTACCCACAAACTCATTTTTATAAGAAATTAAAGGCATGGCAGTTTTTTTCCACTTCAAAAGCTAAATACAAAGACAAATTCACTTTCCAGTAATAAGTTGTTTAAATGTGCCCCCAGTGGGAAAAAAAAAAGGCTCAGCTACTACAATATAAACATACCAGCAAAGTAGATCCAAAGAATTGCCAATCAAATACAAGCAAGCATAATTCTCAAGAGAGTTCTAAATTGTATTCATGTTGAATTGATCCATTTTACTGATTGAAGGCGGTACTGTTCCCATTCAGTTTAGAGTTGTTATAAGATACAGATTCATATTGGGCATATGCAGCAACCATCTTCATTTTTTTTAAGTTTTTTTTTTTAAATTCCACTAACACTCATGTTTATTATTTCAATTATTGTGCTTTCAATACAATGACAGAGCTGTACATCAGGATCCATGCTTCCAGTGTCCCTGGATCCATTTTTGTAAGATGAAACTTTACAGATTCCAGACCATACACTTGGTTTCTCCTTTATTTGTTGAAGACCTAAAAACATATGGAAAAATTTTAATTAAGGCAAGAATCTAAAAAGGATTTTGTCTGTTTGAGATATTAAAACAGGAATGAAAATAAGTTACTACTTACGTGTAATAATTGGATCAATGTCTCTTGTCTGAGTGGCAACATCAGAGGCACAGACTTGCCCTATTTGGATCAGCAAAGACATAATATCCTCATATAGTGGAGGAAATGCTCGACAAAAAGAGACCAAACTTGGCAGAGTTGGCATGAAAAAAGCATATCGCTTAGCCTGTGTTAAAACTGTTGGAAAGAATGAAACAATTTTTGTCTTTACAGGTATAAATTCAACATACATGGCCTATACAATATACCAGTACCATGTTTGTGCTGAGGATACTGTTTTCTAAGACAAGGCCAGCCCCTGCCTTTAGGGAGCTCACAATCCAGTAGGCAGCCATCATCCAACATATAAATTCTTATGCCCAAGCACTGTGATAAGTGCATCACATGTATTATTTCATATAATTCTCATAATCTTATGAGTGAGAAAAGTACTATACTGATACCTATTTTTATATGAGAAAATTCGTAAATATAGTTTAGCCCTGACTGGTAGCTCAATTGTTGGAACATCATCCTGATACATCAAGGTTGAGGGTTCAAATCCCTGGTCAGGGCACATACAATAATCAATCAATGCATATATAAGTGGGACAACAAACTGATGTTCTTTTCTCTTTCTCTCGCTCCCTAAAAATCAATTAAAACATATACACCCACACACACAAAATATATATATAGTTTAATACATTTGTTCAAGGCCACATAGCCAGTTAGTGGTAGAGTTGGGATTCAACTTGGGCTTTAAGCTCTTAACCACTACAAATAATTATAACATGAGGTGAATACATGGAAAGAAAAATGAGCAGGGTATTATGGGATCACTGAAAAAGAATATAAAATTAACTAAGCCATTATTTTACAAAATTAAATTATAGTTCATATCTTTTAAAGTAGTTTATTTTCATACTACTTTACTCTAGGAACCGAAAGGTGGTTAAAATGTTAGGGTATGTTTTAGAACTTAAGAAAACAACTAATTTATGTATCTTATTTATACATAGGACTATGTTTTTCTGGAACTCTACGCATTTGTAATAATTGTAATTTGTTTTCTATTGATATAATTATATTCAGAAAGTACATTTGATTTCCATTTACAAAGTGTGGGAAGCTTATTATTTATTATAAATCTATACATAGTCATTCACAAAATGAACGATACAATTTGCCTACCTATTCATCTCTACACTATAAATCACATTTGTAATAGAAAAATTTTCAGAAGATGGCATAAATTAAACCTATTAGTGACACATAAAAGTGTCACTAAATTCAGAAAAACTATGTACTTCTCTCTATTAGAAGTTTTCTCACTGATGTTGGTTGGCTACACACCTGTCAGCAAAGTTCCCATGACATTGACAGCTAAGCGAGCCACACTGAGTGACTTCGGTAATGCATACTGGATACACAAATGAGAAAGCAACTGGATAGCAAATATCTGCAATACAAAATCCAAATATTACATGTTTCTGAAGAATGTCTTTACGTGTTAAAAATTATTAAATGTTTTACATAACTAGCAAGACTAGCGAGAGATCAAAATTTATCTAAAGCTCTAAATGCTCATTACCTGTTTTTCAAGTTCTGGCTGTGCAATAAGCTCAGGTATGAAGTCCAGACAGATGTGCATAGATGGAATACCTGCGACCGTCAGAGGCAAAAGTTCACATGGATAGCCCTATCCCAACAAGAAAGGAGGGAAAAGATATAAAGAAAATAAAGATATAGGTCAAATACAGATAAAAATATAAAGGAAGGTCTCACTTCCTTTATGTAAAAGTAGCTGTATCTATCCTGGCATTTCACCTTTCTGATGCAATAGAATAAATTATCTAAACACTTTAACAGGCTGAAATAAAATCTAAAAAATACGATTTTTCTCCATATTGAAGAGGAACATGATTATTTATCTCCCGTTTCTAAATGATGCCTATTAATTTAATATTCAAACCCTCCATCCCCCCCCAAAAAAGTTCAACCATAAAGCAACATTCTTTGAAAACAGACCTGAAAGTGAACAAGCTTAGCAATGTTGGGATCCGCAATGTACATTTGGTGCAAGAGACAACAGATAAGGCACTGAACTTCTCGAAGGTTACAAAGCAAGTTGTCTTCTCCTTCCTCCATTCCCTTATTTGGAGTGCTGGTAGTAATAACACTTTGAACATTCCTTAGCAAGCTGTCTGGATTGACACCCTTTGCTTTCTCCTCTTCAGTAGGTAAGCAAATCTCCAAGAGAATCTGGACAGCTGCACTATCCTACAAGCCAATAAAACAGTGAATTTAAGGAGTTTCTGAGAAGTTTATTTGAAACAAATCTGATTTTGTTTTCACATGAACAGAAGTTAAAATTATAACAAAGGTACTTCTAGGGGAAAAGTAAGCAACCTATAGGGCAATGGCTCTCAACTTTTTTAGGGTTATAAACCCTTTTAAGAATCTGAAGAAAATTATACATCCTCTCCCTATAAAAATTAACATGTATAAATAAACATATAGCATTAATTCAGGCTGGTCACATATCCTATAGACTCCAGTTTAAGAATATCTACTAGAAGAGTTTTCTGATTCAGTGACATCCAAAACAGACCATAGGCAAAAAAATTACTTCTATCAAAATGTCCTTTCTGCCCAGCCAGCCTGGCTCAGTGGTTGAGCATCGACCCATGAACTAGGGAGGACACGGTTTGATTCCCGGTCAGGGCACATGCCCAGGTTACAGGCTCAATCCCCAGTAGGGGGCGTGCAGGAGGTAGCCGATCAATGATTCTCTCTCATCATTGATGTTTCTGTCTCTCCTTCTCCTTCCTCTCTCTGAAATCAATAAAAGTATTTTTTTTTAAATGTCCTTTCCTTCCTCGTAAATTCCTACTTCTCCCAGTATTACCCTATCCTGTATTACCCTCTTTTCTCACCTGGCTACCAGCTAATTAATTCCTCTAAAGATGGTGGTTAATAATTAATGCTTAAAAGTCACTTCCCAAAGCTTTTTTCCCTTTTAATTTGAAGATGGGCTTTTTAAAGCCTTGGTTTGCAAGGAAAAATTCTACCTTACCATCCATTCCACCTGTGCAATTCAATGTTGCTCAGTCTACAGGCTGGAGTGTCATTTCATAGAATAGTAGTTCCTTACAGGGTGCTTTCCTTAACACCCCTACATGTAAAGGAAAGCTATAATCACTCTCATCTCACAGGAAGGAGTTAAAAAAAATTAATGTACAACATGCATCTCTAAAAGACAGACATTGTCTGAATAAAACAATTCCTTCATCTCATTAAAAACTGGATTATAAAGTAAGGTTAGGCTTACATTAGAATCACTTATAAAGTAAGGTTAGCTTTGCTTTATAATCATAATTCTTGGGTTGCGGGGTTCTTTGTTTGGGGTTGTTATGTTTTGTTTTGTTCATATTTGTTCTTTGGAGCCAGACTGCCCAGGCTTGGATCCTAGCTCTGCCACTTACTAGATGTGTAACTTTGAGCAAGTCACTTAACCTCTCTGGGTCTCATTCTCCTTTAAAAATGGAGATGATAATACTCCATACCTTGTAAGTTGGTTGTGAAGATTAAATAAGTTAATATACATAGAGAACTTAGAATAGCACCCAGTATATAGTAAGCATTATATAAATAGTAGCTATTGAGATTCTCAATGCCTTATTGGAAACTGAGGGCCAGATTTATTTTCAAACTCAGAATTATTTTTACTGAAATATTATATAATGCCACCAGCAGAGACTAGGGTAGCACATTATAATCAAACATATTTATATTTCTGCAGCAAACATACCAATATTCACCTTAAGTGGAATAAAGGCCATAAATAGTTTCACATCAATTCAGGTCAAGTTTGTCAAAAATGACGTCATATCAGGTCAGGTTTTTCTGCCAATTGAAAAACCCAAAAAAAAGCCTCAGTTTCCATAGCCTTTTGGATATCTGTATTACAGATAAGGGATTGTGGAACTATATTATTCTCTTATTTCTCCTATTACCAATGAAAAGATTTCAGAAAATATATTTTAAACTAAGAAAATATTTCTACTTTGCAGACCTCAAATTTCTTCACATTTAATCATCTCACATCTCCTTTACTATTCAAAACGACTACTTAAGGCTTTAGTAAAATTCTACATTGTTACAAAGTTTTTCTAAATATAAAATTGAACTGCTTCTGGTATAGTACTTAACACTGCTTGACATTTTATGATATGCAGAGGTGGGCAAAAGTAGGTTTATAGTTCTTCATATGGAAAATAATATAATCCTATATAATAAAAGGCTAATATGCAAATTGTCCCCTTGACCAGATGTTCGACTGGGAGTTCAACCAGGAGTTTGACCAGGAAGCGGGGCCAGCCAGCCAACCGCCCACAGCCCCTGCCCCTAGCCAGCCCCACCCCCAACCGGCCCCCCCATCCCGATTGGGGGTGGGGCC